CGGTGAGTCACGCGCTAGTTAAACGCATCCCTTGTCTGTGCTGTGCATTTACTTGTTGACGTTGCCTTATGTACGTCATTGTACAATTNTGCAGTGCGTCACGTCTTGTTCGTTAGTTGGTTGTAAAGCGCTGTTGTCTGTTGTGGGTTTTTGTTGTTGTGCCGCATGCGACGTCGGCGTCTCGCCATGGACGTCTCGCCGTCGGCGTCTCACTGTCGGTGTCTTGCCGTTGGCATCTTTTAGTTCTTGTCAAATTGCTGTTCTTGCACGGCGGCTTTCTCCGCTGCCCTCACAGGCACTGCAGCAACGGGGAAGGGGTGGCTCGCTGGACAGCGGTGCCGGCGCCGTCGGCAAGCTATCAGCAGCTGCCGCCGCGGCGGCGCCGGCAGTAAGACCCCTAGCGGACTTTGCCTTTATCAGAAGTGCACCGAAACGTCGCGTCTCCGCCGGCCGCACCGGGACGTTGGTTAATACACCCTCAGCACCGACGGGGCCCATGGGAAGGTGCCGTCCCAGTGTGTTCGTACAGCCGGCGGATGAGGCGGCGGCGCCGACAGATGCTTATGAGGCACTGTTGGACAGGCACGAGCCCCACGCCTCCGTTGCGACATCGAAGAGCTTAGACGCTTGAATTGGAAAACAAACGTGGTGGAAGCACAGGCGCCTCCCGGTCACACCAGCCGCATCGACGGTGGCGACGCGGACGGCAGCCGAGAAGGTATCGAGCCCAGCGACGGTGACAGTGATGATGGCAGTGATGAAGTAGTGATAATGGGAGAAGCTCCAGGAAAGGGGTCCTGGCACTTTGGCTCGTTACCTCGCAACGGAGGTTCGGATCGGCAGACATGGGCGGACACCTTTCACGGCCCTTTCAGCCACCGCGCACTAATGCAGGGGCCTTTGCGGGCGCTGCTGCTGCTGCTGCTAGCGCTGCTGCTGCGGCGGCGGTGACTTCAACCCATTTCCCTCCCCGGCCGCCGCTGTGGCTCTTCTCCTCTGGGCTTGCTGCCACCGCGACCTTTTTGCGGTGCATTTCCCTCCCCGCCCGCCGCTGTGGCTCTTCTCCTCTGGGCTTGCTGCAACCGCGACCTTTTTGCGGTGCATTTCCCTCCCCGGCCGCCGCTGTGGCTCTTCTCCTCTGGGCTTGCTGCCACCGCGACCTATTTGCGGTGCATTTCCCTCCCCGGCCGCCGCTGTGGCCCTTCTCCTCTGGGCTTGCTGCCACCGCGACCTTTTTGCGGTGCATTTCCCTCCCCGGCCGCCGCTGCGGATCTTCTCCTCTGGGCTTGCTGCCACCGCGACCTTTTTGCGGTGCATTTCCCTCCCCGGCCGCCGCTGTGGCTCTTCTCCTCTGGGCTTGCTGCCACCGCGACCTTTTTGCGGTGCATTTCCCTCCCCGGCCGCCGCTGTGGCTCTTCTCCTCTGGGCTTGCTGCCACCGCGACCTTTTTGCGGTGCATTTCCCTCCCCGGCCGCCGCTGCGGCTCTTCTCGTCTGGGCTTGCTGCCACCTCGACCTTTTTGTGGTGCATTTCCCTCCCCGGCCGCCGCTGCGGCTCTTCTCGTCTGGGCTTGCTGCCACCGCGACCTTTTTGCGGTGCATTTCCCTCCCCGGCCGCCGCTGCGGCTCTTCGTGCCCACCCACGCTACAGAAGTTCTGCTTTCAAACTACCGTGCACAAAAGAAAGATGAAAAGGGAGACATCCTTGCTCAAACCACGACATTCGTTGCAAACGGAAGGACTAGTTCAAAGCAGGAAAATAAGGGAGTCCAAAGATATGGAGGATCGGGTCGAGAAATATGGTTGTCATGGTGGAAGTTGTCCGTTGGAGATATGTTTGGTTGGAAGAGGTTGGCAGATGTTGATCCAGTTGGTGGACAGTTGGTGGACAGTTGGTGGTGACCGGCCGGTTTTATTGTCGTCGCTGGGTTTTGTGGATGGTAGCTAGCGTTATCTAACCAGCCAGCAGCTGCAGCCAGTTATATTGCCTAAATGGGCTACGCTATGCAGCTATCAGCCAGCAGCCAACAACCAGCATCAGCGAGTGTGCGCGTGTCACGGCTGTTGCCGCGCGTGTACAGTCTGTCGTGTTTTCGTTTGTGGTGCCCACAGCCCTGGTTGTGCACAATTGATTTTTATTTGTTTGGGGATTACCTAATTAAGGGGAGGCTACACCTTATTAAATAATAGATGAATAAATAAAGCTGAACCATGATATCTATTTCCGCTTTATTTATTTACTTACTTATTTACTCTGTTTTTAATATCTTAATATAGATTAGTAATGCGCCTCAGCCTTATAAGCTAAGGCGTGCATTAGGGTGCCGGGGTTGTAGAGGTTATGGGTTTTCCCAGGCCTTTGCACCTCCTGTCACCGTATTTTTACTTTTTTCATTATGTAGTCAGCAGCAGCAGCAGCAGCAGCAGTAGCAGCCGGCAGATCAGCAAGCAGCTGCAGCAGTGGCCATGGCCCGGGCCCTTTATCGCCAGGGTTTGCGGCAGCTTCCCTGGTGCCAGGACCCGAATGCAGGGTCGACTGGCTGCCGGGACTCGGGGCGTACGAGTCGTCCGGCCTGCCGGCACCCGCACGCAGGGGCCGGCCGTACTTTTATAACGCCCGTCTCAGGTGGGTGGATGGGTGGGTGGGCGACGTGGGTGTGGGTGTGGTGCGTACTTCGTGATTTGGGTTCAACTAGTGGTCGTGGAAAAAGGCCGCAGGGCCGCAGCGCACGTGTCGCAACGAGGCCTTGTGACTTTTGGGGCAAAATAATGACATTTGGGGGTTTTACCCCCCTCCCCCCCGTGTATGCTGCCCCCTTACCTATTCCCTCTGCCGTTTTCCCCCTTTATCACGCACCTCCTCTTCAGGTGCGGCTGGGGATCAACCTGTGCGCCCCAGTGGCACCGAGCGGGCGTTGTTGATGATGGACCCGGCTGAGGTGGGTGCGGATGGGCTTGGGGTTTTGGTGCATGGGGTGTGCGTCGTGGGGACCAGCAGCGGTACCCTTGCTTGCAACTGTCACCTAATTATGTGTGTGTTAGTTGTGTCGTACTGCTAACCATATTTTGACTTCCCGCGCCCTTCCCCCGCCTTGTCCCTTTTCCTTCAGGTGCACTGCTGGGTGCAATTCTTCCGCACCCAGCTGCACCCAGCCGGGTGCCGCCGCTGCTGGCCAGTTGGCTAGCGGCGGCGGCGGCGGCGGCATATAGCCGCAACTATCAACTGCTGTAAACGCCATCGGCATCATGATCATCATGATCATCATCATCATCATCGTCATCATTATAATCATGGTCATCATCATCAGTTGCCGCCATTCTTGTTGGCTTGATAACTTGTTGGCTGCATGCAGCGCCAACTACGAGCAATGACCGAACGAATGGTGTCGTACAGTAAACGCCATACCGGCCGTATAACGGTTAATAATAAAAATATCAATAAGTGGCGAATACATGGGACATGGCCTGGCATGATGCGGTTCGGGGGGCTTTGCCTGGCATGATGCGGTCCGGGGGACATGGCCTGGCACAATGCGATTTTGGGGTGCATGGCCTGGCATGATGCGGGTTTGGGGGGCATGGCCTGGCATGATGCGGTTCGGGGGACATGGCCTGGCATGATGCGGTTCGGGGGACATGGCCTGGCATGATGCGGGTTTGGGGGACATGGCCTGGCATGATGCGGGTTTGGGGGACATGGCCAGGCATGATGCGGTTCGGGGGGCATGGCCTGGCATGATGCGGGTTTGGGGGGCATGGCCTGGCATGATGCGGTTCGGAGGACATGGCCTGGCATGATGCGGTTCGGGGGGCTTTGCCTGGCATGATGCGGTCCGGGGGACATGGCCTGGCACAATGCGATTTT